ATTTAATGTTTGTGCTAACAGAGCAGAGCCAGCCACTTTGTAAGCTGTCTGAGGCTAATGTGTTGCTATACAACGTTCTGATTAACTGTGAAATACATTATGGCCAAATTATGGGGCATTTTCCTTTTCCAATTTTGATATCTCTGTTTTAATTGCATACTTCAATAGTTTATTTATTTGACATCACTTGGCTATAAAGGTTCACAACACTAAACGGTTGGGAACCAGCACTATAATACACCAACACTAAGCAGATGTGCAATATACTTACAGATATCGACAGCATGCATATGTGGAAGAGCCTGTCTTCCGCTGTGGGGTCACATGGCAATATAACTCTGATAAAAAACGCAAAACACATTGAAATTAAGTAAAAGCTGAATTATTTGCGGATATGGCACAACATGCAAATACTTAAAACAAGAGACACTTATAATTTCAATTGCTTAAATGTCTAAGTCCAAATGTCGCTACTGCCAAAATAGTGCCACAGTTTTATGATTTTCCCAATTGATAAATGTAATTGCGATTGATGGGTATATGTACATATAATCTATATCTTTAAATGTATATGATTGCATCTCTGAAAATGTTCCAATTACAAGACATTTCACTTTTATCAGCACAAAATCACCAAACAACCCTTTGACACCACCAGTTCTGCTCTTTTTTATCTTCAGGTTTTATACTCACTCTTTGGGGGGTTGGGTTGGCTCTGCGTTGTTTGAGTACCAGTCTGAATAATCATAATAAGAATATTCAAAAGGCTCAAATTCCACCTTGCTGGTATTCATGGCCGCTGTTCAGTCGAGTCAAACAGGATGCAGCGGGATGATTAAAGATCCAGAGGATCCAGGAACCCTCGCTCAGCGACCTGCTGGTGCTGAAACGTGTCGGGACAGTTTGGACAAAACACCCAGAAACATTCCAGGTCAACAGAGAGCTCAACAGCAGATTAACAGCTGCACAGGGGGGAGTGTGAGGAGGGAGAGGCTCAATAATACAGCCTGTAATAGAAATTCAGGAATCAACTTAAAAGGTGCTTTTTTAAGTGATTTTGTTTTTCTTTGATGGGGAAGTTAATCTTTATAATCCTGGCTTTATAATTCAACTTCAAAATATTTGATTTTGATGCCACTTTGTACTACTACTGAGGGAACACAAATAAATAAAGACTTAAAGTCTTATTTAAGTGTTGATTATATTTCACATAATTTGCAAGTATCTCAAAATTGTACTTAAGTTAATGTACTTAGTTACTTCCCACCTCTGCAGCTTTTATTAGTCAATGGACACAAAATGAATAGGCAATTATTTGGATAATTGCCAGTAAACTATTGCTCATGCTTAAACACCATATTATTTCAGCTTTACATATGTCAGGATTTAGTTTTCTTGATTTACTTTTTAGTTGTGATACAATGTAGATGTGTCCATTTGTGCTCTCAGTTATTGTGATGGCACTTTTCTTACATTTTACAAACCAAAAATGTAATGTATTAATAGATACAAAATCAGTCAGCAGATATCACTAATTGCAGCCTTGTTTAAATATATTTAATCTAACGTTTTGGTTTATGCCTAAATGTCATGAATATTGATCTCTCTTTTTGTGCCTACATGAACATTTTCCTGTTTTTGCTGATGAATTCAAACACCAAACTACCCAAACAAAGGTTAAAAACTAATTTCATTAATTTCTTCAATCACAAGAATGATGTTTGATACATTTGAATGTTATATGTGTGTTGTTTTCATGTTGAAATACAGCACTCTTGGTAAGATTAGGCAATGCAACGTGGTTTTAACCTGTTTGCCTCGCTCCGCCTGTTACTAGAGAGACTAATCTTATAATAAGATGAAAATCTCTGATTTAAACAGGGGCAACCTTTGTGTGAAGAGAGCTTAGGAAAGGCCAACATGAGAATGTGGATGGTTTGACACGTGAGGTAAGACTTCAGATTAGAATCACTCCAAACTAATGTTTAATTTGTGATATAAAGAAAGAAATGTATTAAAGGTGCCAGCAGCAGATTGACTGATCACCTGAAGTACACAGACCTTTAATCTTTTAAAACTGGAGCATAAAGATGGATTCAGTGATTCCAGGACATTTTGTTCTTCACTTGCATCATGAAGATTATTTTAAGGTACATTTCCAGCCATTTTTTCAGAGCATAATTTACTGTAAATAAAATGCATCACCTTTGAGAGCTGAAAGGGTCTTAATCTGGATGTGTGAGCTCACTCATATGACAAAGGCCTCAGAGGGCCAGCTGATCTGATCCCAGGATTTTCTGACTGAGGGCCTTGCACGTGAGGCTAAAACACTCAACTGCTGCTGCTACATAAAAACCAATGAAACGCAGACACATGTGCTGGAGGCTCTTAAAGGTATACCAAGCAGTTGCACTTAAAAAGCCAAGCAAAGCTCTTTCCCAGAGCTGTCTGTTGAGATTTCACTTGAACTACTCGCTTGCAAAGCAAAACAAATATGTGTATGCATGTAGCTCTGCTCCTCTGATGTCTTTAATGTGTTTGAATCAAAGGGTAAAGTAATACTGAGTGACGTCTCTTATCAGATTGACATTTAATTGAACACCAACACTCGCTTCAACTATAACCGTCTGCTTTCACAACTCGTTTCAAAGTGGGGAACCATATTTCCATTACATTATTATAATGTCACTATGCAGATGTAAAAACTGAATATATAGCCTCAACTTTAACTCAGTAGATCAAGAGAAAGACAGGAGACATGTCTGTCCTTTTCTAAGTGATGCCTTTTGTTTTTTTGGTTTACTGCCGTCTACTTTTTTGCCATTTGTTTCTAAGCACAATCTTTTTAGCCATACTAGTCTCTACCTCTTTGGTTCAGATGGATTGCCTTGAAGTTTTGTAGAAACATGGTTCCCAGAGGAGAAATCCCAATGACTTTGGTAATGCCCTGACTTTTTATCTAGCTCCAAAATTCTGATTAGCAAATGTTAGTATATTAAAATAAGAGGGAGAACTTGATCAACATCAAACCTGCAAACATCTGCATGTAAACATTGTCATTGCAGGCCGAGGTAAGCCTTCACCTCAAAGTACCAGGTAGGCTTTTTAGCGTACTTTAAGTTCTGCTCTACAAACCAGTTTTGGGCCATTAGGAGTCGATGTAAGTCCGTAGGCATCTTGGTATTCTTGGCTCTAGAAGTAACATGCGAGGATAGAGCAAAGTACAACCTAATGCCTATTTCTTAGGGGACCAAATCCTTTTAAACTTTCATGAACTGAAAACACACTTTGAAAGGGTTTAAAGGTCATACACACGGACACCTAAACCAGTCAACACTGAGGTAGCAACATGTCAATCACAACATTGCCGCCCTCTAAATTGGACCAGGATTTGACAAAGTGGAAAAAATGCTGTAATAATAAAGAAAAATGTAAACCAACAATAGAGACCATAAACCCAATGAGAAAATGTTTACTGAGGTAATAAAACATCCCAGGGTCAGTTTCATCCCACAGGCCATCAGACTGTCAAACACCTGAACTTTTGAAACAACATCCACAACATTAATCTGGCTGCAATTTTGAAATTATTTATCTAATTTATCATATTTAATCACTTGTATATAGACTCTTATTGCACTATTCCACTATTTTTCTTTTTGTATTTACTTGCACTATTTGTTCTGTTTTTCTGTTTTAATGTGTTGCACTGTTGGAGGAGCCTGTGACCTACGATTTTCATCGTCATAACTACACTGTAGCTATGTACGTATGACCAATAAAAGCCTTGAACCTTCCCTGCTGGATCTTAGAGAAAAGGCACATGAAGGCCCCTCCATATTGGCTTCACTTTTCAGATTGCTGCCTGATAATTTGACCTGTGAGGACATGGTTGAATATTATAAACACTCTTTTGCTTGTCAGACCAGCAATTTTAAATGTCCTAAATTGTTCAGGAATTTTCAAATGAAAGCTATCTGTGGCAACACAGAACAGCAGTATCAGTACTGTATCTTATTTAAACCTTCTTTGTTCTATGTTTCCACCCATCTATTATCAAGATCCTCTCATGAAAGGTTAATCACCTAAAGACAAAACTCATGCTAAAAGCCTTTAACAGGCCCTTAAAACTAATCAGTTTGTTCCAAACTCTAATTGGAACTATAAGAATAAGAAGAAATTGGCCTTCTGCAAACTGGGCAAATTGTTTCAAACAGTGCATCTGGATAGATGTGTAAAAAAACTGTAACTCAACGTGTGTGTGTGTGTGTGTGTGTGTGTGTGTGTGTGTGTGTGTGTGTGTGTGTGTGTGTGTGTGTGTGTATGTATGTGTGTGTGTGTGTGTGTGTGTGTGTGTGTGTGTGTGTGTGTGTGTGTGTGTGTGTGTGTGTGTGTGTGTGTGTGTGTGTGTGTGTGTGTGTGTGTGTGGGTGGGTGTGTTAAAACTAGACAGAAGAGGGCACTATTTCACTGCATTACAGTGTGTCCAGTTCTCAGTAAATTCAATTTCCATTTTGATCCATGCATTACAGCTGACACATAATTCATGTTTTTCTTTCTTTAAACATGTCTATCTCTATTTCATACAATGAACCTTTACCCCTTTTTTTAATTATGAACCCTTATAACTGAACGTCTGATGGCTATATGATCCATTTTCAAGCATTTTGTCTTTATCAAGGCATGACAACATGAATATTACACATTAATAACAGCAGGATACAGTCCATCTATCACCAAACAAATAAAGATCTGCACCTCAGACACAAAGTCTAAATATTATACAAATAGATAGCAAGCATGATGATAAGAACTGAATTCAATTTCCTTTTCAGAATGACCTGATGTGAAAACAACAAACAAATAATAAAGTGGCCTTATAAAATAACAGCACGCAGAATCTCTGATATGTATACAGGAATACAAAGCAAATAACTGTGAAATAACATCCCTCCACACATGGAGATCATTAGTGAGTGCATGGGTTTTGGGGTGATGGTCTTAGTTTTTGAACATGTCACACAACAGTTTCTCCATGGGAGTGTTTCCGATGGTCCTGTGGAAGAACAGCAGCTCTATCCGCTCCGAGTTCACAAAACGCAGGGAGGGAAGAAGAAGAAGCAGCTTTCCAAACCTTTAATAAACACAAGGAAGACACATATTATCAATGGTTAATAGTACAGCATATATAAACAATTAGTTGCTTGTGATTATAACTTAAACCACCTCAGAAAACAAGTATTGATAAGAAAATTGCAAGTCAACATTCAACTTTGTGAGTGCTTAGTGCTGATTATTAAAATGTAACAACATTTGACAACCTGTTAAAGAATAGCTGGGACTGTTACATTTAAATGTACTGCAAAACTCCACAGGTCTAGCATTAATTTAAGCTGGCCTTACACGATTATATGTTATTTATTATAATGTAAGTCAAAGTAAGTCAAGTCCTCATTTCTGTGAAATAAGTTGGATGGAGCATTTATATGAATCTTCTAGTCATACATGTCAAACTCAAGGCCCGGGGGCCAAATCAGGCCCTTGGTGGATTTGATTTCGGCCTGCAGGATAATTTCTAATTACTATTAGATCTGGCCCACCGGTATATTGCACGCTTCACTCAATCCTGAGGGTTTCCTCAGCTCAGAGCCTGACCCCAAACATTGATGACCTTGTATCCAAGATGAGATGCCAAGTATCTGGCTTGAACTAGCATCACAGAGCAGCAAACTGAGTTTCAATGGATGTGTCCTTTTGCACTTTCTTTCTTGCGACAACAGGGCATGTTTGTTTTTCTCTTTGAGAGAAATAGTTTTTTGAAGCTGTTGTTGGCCTGAGGAAACATTTAATCATAAGAAATGACTCTGGAAAAGCTGCAGATAGAGTGAGATAGAGAGCCATAAGAAATGAATGCAACTGATTATTAAATGTTTAATGTTGTTTTTATAGGCAATAATTTAAGCTTTGTTAGTTCCAGGTTTAATATGTACAATAAGTTCATTTCAATACGTTTTGCAATAAACATTGAACCAGTCCGGTCCTCGACTAGTACCCATTTTTAAATGTTGGCCCACTGTGTATTTGAGTTTGACACCCCTGCTCTAAGTAGCTGGCCAAAAGAAACAAATATGTATTAAAAAATCAAATCCCTCCCAAAAGCTACACAGATTTTTGGTAACAGAAAAAGTTTCAGTGATCTGAGACGAGGCTTGCTCTAACCTGTTCCTAAGCCGAATTGAAAGGGTTTCCATACTAGAAACTGTAATATGTGTTTTTTAATAATCTTTGCGAGCACAGATTTGAAGAAGAGCAATCAACTACAAAATAATAGAAACACTCGATGATTCAGGGAGTTTTGTCTTTCAGACTGGTAGATGATAGACAGAAAACATCATATATCTTCATCTTCATGTTTTGGTAATGTTTGGTGTATAACATCATTTTGGCCTTTTTGCCCTCTAATATACATTTAAGAGCAAAAGTAAAGGTGTATATTTTTGGTATCCATGCAGCACCGAGGCAGTGATGTCACAGGACATACCTGGCTGGTTGACTGGGGTAGTGTGAGCGGATGTGTTGTCCCAGCATCACTTGGGACTGATCCTGCAGGTTCTCCACTTGTTCTGGATCTTTTAAACCACGAGTCTCTGCGGAGGAGAGCAGACACAAATATGAGCCACACATATCCAGACAAACTGCAGAAATATACTGAAAGGATGGCTTTGCAATATGAGCTGGTGCCACTCTCTCCACATAACTAGACTCAATTATATTAACAGCTGGAAAATGGATAACTGAAATTAACAGAGGAAACACAATGAAGTCTTTAAAGTAATAACATTTTATCTCCTCAGTAAATATCAAAACCTGATTATGTGGTTGGTTTGAGGTTATGTTTTATATATTAACGTATTCTTTTTAGGATTTTGGAAGCAAATGTTTTATGTATTTTGTATTCACATGTGTGTATAATGTAAGATTCCCCTTGACTGCCAGGCATATCACTCCAGGGATCAAATAACATTTGAAAGTTAACAAATTATAAAAATATTATAATAGTAATATTAAGCTAATATGTTCAATGTTTTTTACAGGGTAACACCAGAGGACATTTCAAAGAAAATGTGAGAGATTCATCCTCTTTGGAGAATGAATATCCTTAGTAAATGTTACGGCAATCTTTTTGTATATTTATATTATATATTTTAAAGCTGATAAAGCTTTCACGGTAAAACTTTAATATAGGCCTTTACAACATCTTATTGTTGCTTTGCAATAATAACACTAAACAGATTATTGAATGACTTCTGGATAAGTAATAAATGATTTGGCCTCACCTGGCTTGAACAGCACGATGGCCTTCAGGCAGGCGAACTCAGTGGGATCGACAGCGAGGGCCTTGAAGCGGCTGAAGACCTCCTGCAGGAGGCGCAGGTCCAGGCCGATGTAGCTGGTCTTCCCCTGCATGCCGGGGCAGAGGTCCGGCAGGGAGAGCAGCGGGCAGCTGTCCAGAGGCAGAGACCACTGGATGGCACAGAGCAGGAAGAGCTCGCTCCACGCCTCCTCCAGCAGGATCACCTGGTGGACACCAACAAGAGTCCTAATGTAAAAACTGTGATTCAAATGTAGCTTTGTTTGGAGCCTCACTGGTTAGTCAAAGCCGTTACAGGTATATGGGAGCCCATTACTGCCAAAAAGTTGCTAAATGATCATGTATACTTTTTGATAATAGTTAACTATCAAGCATGAATTATGATTTTTTTTAATTTATTCTAATTCAAATTAATTACTTCAATTTAATAATTAATTGGAAGATGGACATTTTTGTAACACTTTTAGTTGCTGTTTACCAAAAAAAAAATCTGAAATTAATCAGGTCCCAAATCTGACTCTGCAACAGTATTTTATTTTTCTCTTTTTCCTAACGCGATTGGGTTATATTTTGAATCTATAAAGATGTTTTTATTTTACTTGCTAATTAAAAGACCTGCAGTGTGTTATGAGTATACCTGGTCTCTGAAGGGCAGGTTTGAAAACACGGGCAGGTTCTTGGCCCACTTCACCGACATGAAGAGCAGCCTGGCCGAGGTTTCGTACACGTTCTCCGAGCTGGACGGGTACAGAGCCATGTGGTACTCCGAGGACGCTCGCTCCGGCTCGTTGCTCGTTACGTCGATGTTTTCGTCAACTGATAAGCGGAAATATACAAATTAAATTGTATTGCTTCATGTTAACACTAATGTAGCTGTAGACCTTGTTAAATTAAAAATAAATTCAATATATTAAATGTTTTTAGACAAAATCCTGCCTACCCTATCCAATAAACATACCGATAACGTTCTTGTTCTAAATGAATGGCTTGAATTGACCTGCATGACCGGTTAAAATGCCAAAACTGGGGATACAAACACATGGAATAATTCCAATTCCAAATAAATGATCCATTCTGTCTAATGTGATGTCAAATCAAAACCCTCCTCACCGTCTTCGGGCTCCAGCTTGGCGCAGGTCTCTGCCGTCATGAGGCTGGCCATGAAGCGGTGGTTGTTTTGGGGACTGGTGCAGCGCTGAGGGGCCACAGAGGAGGTGATGGATATGGAGGAGGTGATGTGAGGCCACGTGATGACAGACGATGAAGAAGAGGAGGAAGAAGAGGATGAGAAAGAGGAGGTGGGCTCCCGCGTGGTGGCCAGGTGCTCCTTCTCATGGTCCACGTCGATGGAGTCCAGGCGAACCTGAGCTGTGCTGCGGGGCTGCCGCTCGTTCTGTACTGCTGCAGAGAGGAAGAGGACAGGGCGCGAAAAGAGGGAAATCATTTTGAAATAAATTTAGATTCTAACAGTCAAAGTTTGTAAGCATTATTTGAGGCATGTTTTTGAATGTTTAGAAACACTAACCATCTTTATTCATGCCCGCCTGCAGGCACTTATTCAGCCGACACGCCTGGCACTGGTTGCGGTGAGCTTTGTCCACAGGACACATGCCTGTACTGGCCTGGCACCTGTTAACACACACCCAACATGAAACACTGTAGTTATAAATACACACTTACAGATTTATGATTTTTATCTGAAATTCACATTCCTTTTTAGATAAAAAAAAAAGGTCACCTGTAGAAACCATGAATTACACTAGTTTACAATTTACCAAAATAAAACATGCCAACTGAAAGACACATCGTTGATTCAAATGTCTATCAAGATGCCCAAATGGGATTGGATCCTAATTATTTTATGTAAACATCACTCACCAACAGCTTAATTGTTATTACAGTAATTATCATGTTAATTGGCACTTTTCAATCATTTTCAATAATACAAGTGTATATTTTCAGGTGACAAATTCATTTATTTAACTATGTTTAATGCATCCTCATTTTGTTCTAAAAGAGCATGAGCTTATTTAACATACATGTTGGATTTGTTTGATATAACTACATTTATTGGCTTTGAAAATGTTACAGATAAGATGTTTAAAAAAGCATGCTGGCCTCCCATAATGCACCTCATAAGGCTTGAGAGTGATGGTGAACTTGGGTTATTCTTTATCTATGAAGTTAATAAGGAGTATCTTTCTCTTGCCTGTAAATGAGCCTCCTCCTCACGCTGCGTTTGAAGAAGCCGCTGCAGCCGTTGCATGCGTAGATGCCGTAGTGTTTCCCGCTGCTGGTGTCTCCGCACACTTTGCAGACCAGAGCCAGGCTCAGAGCTTTGCCCGGGGACGGACTCTTGGCTGTGAGTCAAAACACACAGGGCCGAGCGGTTAGTGCCATTCATGAGGTCTGGTAATGTTTCATAAGTGTGCCTGCCATCTGTACTGCCAGCTCACTCTACTGCAACAGGCGGTTAGGCCTGAAAATCTCATTTAGTAAATGATTACAAACAATAAAATGGCCGAAGGCAAATTAACAGCAAAGACAAACGATGCAGGGATACTGATATTAATCCAAATAAACCCATTAATTAAACATACATTAATATGGCATCAGTTACAGTTGAATTATACTAATGATATTCTTGCCTTGTTCTAAATTGATTAAGTAGATTTGTGTAAAATGAATGTTTGTAGGCAAAAAAACAGTTTAGCCATGTGTGACGTCAAATCATAGATTCTCAAACAGAAGCTTGGAATTAAAAATTAAAAATATGAATGTTAATTACTAAATAAGTCAGGTGTATGTGAAACTCTTACCTGCTCTGCTGTCGTCTATACCGCCGCTCCCAGAAGACTCACTTGGGGAGGAGGACGACATCATGGGGATCTTCAATTGGTGATCCTCCATCATGTCTTTCTTAAAACTGTCTCCAGGAGCAATGGAGATGCAAAACAGGTTACAAAAAAGTCCTCTTCTATGAAGTTTTCAAGATACAATTTCCAGGATTGACACACAAAAACTTCAAGCCCTTTTTGTGTGTTTTGAAAAAGTTGTCAGGCCTCCAGTGGTGTCCAGTTGGTAGATAGTGGTTTGAGCCTCTGATGTGGGGCTGCAGGTGGGCTGGGGTCCTGTCATGAGCTGGAGCTCACACTTTTTGCACATCAACAGGTTGTGTTTCCTCCCTCTGGCCGCCGGGGTCCGTCACTCTCTGCGGTGCTTCCTCTGGGGCAGCTCTTCAAAAGGGAGCCCTTGGGGGGGTTGCAGCAGGGGGAGGATTAGCCCCATGCGCTGTGTAAGCAGCATGCCTATTTGTCATCCTCTTAATCTTTACTGTTCATCTGGATCAATCAGTCACATTGACAGAATATTGGTGCTGATCGGATTTTGATTGTGTCTGCAAACAACAACAGAATAAAAAAAGCAACAGTGAAGACTCCTCAAACCGTCTGCTGGAAGAGTTGTAACTTTAGAGCAGTTCCCATGCAGCTCCGTCTCCTCGTGTCTCCTCCGTCCACGAGGACAGTCAGTCAACGCTCCTCTTCGGTATCTGCATTTAAGGGATGATTACACGAGGAGCACATTATTATATGTACGAGCCTCTTCAATTTGTATTCCCCTCTTTTTTTGACTCCAAATACCAGCTCCATTTCATACTGCTGTATATTTGATCTGTGTGATTGCCTCCCATTCATAATGACCCCCAGTGTTTGCTGAGAAGCTGACCATTAACTCCCATTCTCTCTGAACTGAAAATCACCCATTTCCTTTTGGCTGCCAAAAGAACCGAGGTTATAGGGGGAACAATAGAGTTTTGAATGGCTGATGTTTGAGCGGACATTCGTTTAGCTCATTCGTCAGGGCCTCCTATTTATTATTAAAAAGCTAGAATAATCATATGGCATTAACATAGGCCTCGGTTTGAGGCTGCGGCATGCGGGAGACTGGACCAGAGAATATGAAACACGCAGCTGTGCAATCAAATTTAAATTAATTCGGCTGGTTGTTTGCTAAAATGTCAATTTGGAGCAAATTGAGAAGCACAGTACAATATTGCTGTGATTAAGAAAAGAAAGGCCTCAAAACAGAACAAACAAGCCTGAACAAATACTCAATTGTGCATTACAACCCAGAGAAGAGTCACAGAGGATCTCTGTCAAAACAAAAATCTTTCAGTTCATAAATGCAAAGCAGGTGTCATTCTGCTGCTTTTGACAGAATGATCGCCCTCAAAAGCAACTTTCTGTGTTCGATTTTAATCGTTTGTTTCTTGCCACAGTTGAGTGATCTCAATCTAAAGGGGACACAAGCTGCCATGTTTGTGACATCTGTGAGCTGGCATCTGTACTGTTGTTGTTTTTCTGTTTTCTGTTTGTTCTGTGATTGTTAATAACTCATGACTGACACATGAACGCTTGAAAGTGTTGATTGAGTTTTCAGGAAGGAGCAAGCTGAAGACACAACATCTGACATCGTGTTATAAAGTCACCATTGGTAAAATGCACTTGGAGTCATATTCCTTAAAAGATGTATGTCTGTTCATTGCCCCTAAATGTTTCAATTTCTTCAACAAAGTACTTCTACAAAAACTCATGGCAGGTGGTACAGTGGGTTTATCAGAGAATGTTTTTAGAACACATGCGCTTGCTGCTGGTTGAAAAACCCAAAATAATTGCATAAAAGAGACCAAAAAAGAGGGTAGAGCTCGAACAAACTGTAACCACAAACATTTGAATATATTTGAATGAAAACATTCAAACTGACTTCAAGAACATAACTCATATATTGCTGCTCAAGTATCAAATGTACTCTGAGGGCCAAATTAATTTTGATGCCAGAGACTTCCAGCTCCACCTTAACAAGGCCTGAACATAATTGGAAAAAACAAAGTGGAAAGCAGTTAAGTAGATTAGAGTGTGACCACATTTTGTCTGCCTGGGCACCAGCCGGAGTCACCAGAAGACAGGGGGGGAAGAAACACAATTAGCTCATAAGATTAAAAGAGCAGTAAAGACACACTTCTTGTGGGCATCTTTGGCCATATGGTGGCTACTCTCTTCATCCTTGGCCAACACACTGTTGACCTTTGTAAGATTTACCAGTTAATTAGGCTTGTGAGGTCAGTGTTTCTGCAGGCTCTCTGCGACGATTCACCTAATTACACACTGATTACCATCCAGGATATGGAGTCATTCATGTTTAAAAGGAGAGCCAAGAAACAGGTTAGATACACTCACATCTTAATTTAATCACATGATCATCATCATAGGATTTAGAGTTTTTACATTTTTGCAAAAAATCTGTTTGATTTAAAAATGGGTTGCAACGTAAAATACTTGAATACCAAGATCACATCAGTCAAGATGCTTAATCTGTCCAGTGGGTTTAAGTGTGTGAGGGGAAAGGGGGGTTCCAATTTCTATACCCCCGATTGCGCTTGCTTTGAACCCACCCATCTTCAAACTCAACCTTTATTTTTATCTCAACTACAAACCTGTATAGTTCCCTGAATGCATCCTGCATGGTTGCAATGCTATCATTAGGATACAATCTTACAACAGTCAGTTAACTCTACTATTCTATATTTATGATGATAATATGTCACAGTGGTTAAACTTAAAGAGGACATATTATGCTAATTTGCAGGTTCATGTTTGTATGTAGTGTCTCTACTGTGACATGTCTCCATGCTTTAATGTTCAAAAAGCTCTTAATCTTTTTCATACTGCCTGTCTCTTTTCACCCTCTGTCTGAAACCAGAGCCCAGCCTGCTCTGATTGGTCAACCTCTTAGAGATGCCCCGCCCCTTTGGCTTATCACGTGTAATGTGTTGGAGCGCTAGCCAATAGATACGGAAGTAAACAAAGGAATCCAATGGAGACGTTTCAGGCAGGGGGGGGGAGTGTGTTAGAGAAACTCCCTTTGGGATTTTATCCTTTGCGGACCATTTACATGCACAAAGATATAACACACTACACGAAAGGGAACACCCCTTTAAAGTTTTAAAACAGACCGTATTGCCATCAGACTGTCTATTACAGATCCTTTTATTGCCAAAAGATAAAAGGCCTCAGAATCAACATTTAGATCAGAACCAACTAACCTGCTCATGTCCAGCTCATCTCTTCTTCATGAATTATGCAGCTTTAATTTACTTATAATGTGCTGGTGGTGCCTTTGATTATCTCATGAGTGATAGCCTTATTGCTTTATTATTTATTGAAATCACATGTACTATCCACTCAAATAATGTGAGATATGCAAACAGGGTAAGGGTTAAGGTTTGCAATCCCTCCATTATTAACCTTGGTCAAAATTACACAAAATAAAGAAGGATTGGGGTGTTAACATTTTAGGATATGTGACATTCGCAAGAAGCTTTCCTGCAGCTCTTTCTCATGCAGGTAGCACTCAACCTTTTAAGTTGATGATCAGTCATGAGTTGGCTTGGGTAAATCCAAAATGTTTAGAGTTACTTTAAGACATTGCATTTCAACTCAAGCTTCATGCTCAGCTGGGGATATTTGACAGCCCTCCATATACAAGACTGCAAATACAAATGCAGAACAACATCTTCCTGCTGGACCTTTATTTTGCTCAGAGGCCATACTAATTATAACTCTACTTTAGAAGCATCTTCACCTAAAAAACTAAACGAACAAAAGGCTTCCTTTATAGCCAGACTTCGGTTTGTTCCTTTTTGGCTTCTGTAGAACATGGAGTGCAACATGATGGACTCAGCTAAAGAGGGTTATTCTAAAGAAAACACACAATTTATTATAACATAGTGATGAATATTATATTCCTAATTCTGCTGATGGATCATCCTAAACACTGACCCATTAAGCTAATTTGCAACTATTTCCATTGTTTGAAACCGCTTAGCTGCCACTGCCGATCATGAGCGTACGTGACTGGGTCAGCGTCATATTTTGTGTCACCAGACCACTACCTAAAAAACAATATTGCTCATGTCAATCTGCATCTAGTTCTTGATAGCCTTGTACATTAATGGAATAATTAGCAATAAAGAGACAGATTGCAGTTTTAAGTTCATTAGAAGAAAATAAATCACTATCCCACTAAAAAATCCTTCATGATAAACTTGGATCCTCACAAAAACAGATCACTTACTCCTTGGTCTTCACCACATTTCGCTGATATCTTTTCTCACTTACTAACAACGACAAATCCTATTGAAAATATTGAAGAATGAAAGACATCAAAAGTGGAACACATACATGCATGGATACATCAACAACAACAAACAAGCATTGGTTTCCTGTGTTGTGTTAAGCTGCTCAGGAGTGTGACGGTGTTGAGCTGCAGATCAGATCTGCTCTCTATGTTCAGAAGAAGTCTCAGACTGTAGCCTGCTGGCCATACCGATCGCAGCATTATGACGGTTTACATAATAATAACAAGCTGCGGTACATCAAGTTTTACGCCGAGACTTGCTTACATGAGCAGGCCATAGATTAACACAAAGAGATTAGCACAGGAGCAGTGTTATATTAGGATTCAAAGAATGATTAGAGGTGTTAGTGTTACGTAACGACATTATTGAGTATCTGTGTACGAGTCTTTGCAAAACAAACACAAACCTCCATCAACAGGTGTGCATCTAGTAAAGAAGCAAACGCTGATACAGAGTGGTGGAATCTAATTAATTACATTTACTAAAGTACTGGCTATCACTTGATAATAACCCCCATCATTAAATAGTTTGGTTATGGTTCATTCAAATGTTTTACTGTCAAGAAACAATGAAATTATTAAACATTTCTGATTTCTAATTAGTGATATTTGTTATGTTACTTTATCATTTGTTTGTTTAATGTCAAATAATTATTTTTGAAAATTATATATTCTTTCGTAGCTGAAACATATCTATACAATTGCCATTGTGA